GAGAAGAGGAAGCTGACAAAAGATAAAAAGAAGCCAAGGCACTCGCTTTCCAAGAAAGAGAGAGAAGATGGATTAGGAAATACATGAGCAGGTAAGCTGGAGGCTTGTTCCTGGCAAAAAATCTAGGAGATTCACATCTTGGTTCTGCTATTTAATGGCAATGTGACCTTGTACATATTTTAAAACATTGCTATAAGGACTAAATAAGACGACATGTAAATGAGAGATAATGTATGTAAATAACAATATATATAAATAACAATATAGCACTTGTAACAATGAGGCACTGGCGTGGGGTTCCTCAAGAACAAGTCTCATTTACCTGACTTCACTTTCCTAGTTAGGTGGAGGGACTGAGGGAGAAGGTATTTTTGGACATGAAGACTAGAAACATATCTTCATTTTGAAAAGGCATTTGATGAAAATCTCATAATATCTGCATGACAAGAATGAATTTTAGGAGAGTCAGCCGTCTAAATAAGCACATTTATGGTATAATTCACGAACTGGGCAGGGCGTGGTGGTTCATGCCTGTAATCCCAGCACTTTGGGAAGCCAAGGCGGGCAGATCACCTGAAGTCAGGAGTTTAAGACCAGCCTGACCAACATGTTGAAACTGCATCTCTACTAAAAATACAAAATTAGCTAGGCATGGTGGCATGGGCATGTAATCCCAGCTACTTGGGAGGCTGAGGCAGAAGAATCACTTGAACCCTGGAGGCAGAGACTGTAGTGAGCCGAGATCGTGCCACTGCACTCCAGTCTGGGCAACAAAAGCAAAACTCTGTCTAAAAATATATATATATAGAACTGGATCGTTCTGTGCCTCAGTTTCCTTATATAAAAGGAGTGTCATCATAGCACCTCATTGGGATGTCATGCAAATTACAGCACCTGGCATTTCATCAGCACTATATACATCTCTGTTCAACAGACTGGAAAAGAAGTTTTCAGTGGCATGCTTGTGCAGCACTTGGCTCCAACCTCTTGAAAATTTCCATCAGAAACTTGTTAAATTTTCGTAAGATGTGCATGATATAAATCATGGATAATGAAACAAAAATCCAAAATGACCCTGACAGGCCAGGGCTATGATGTGAAATATATGAGATAAAATTAAATCCTAGATAAAGATTTTAAGAAAAATAAACTTTTTTTTTGAGACAGAGTCCTGCTCTGTTGCCCAGGCTGGAGTACAGTGGCACAATCCCAGCTCACACGACCTCTGCCTCCCAGGTTCAAGCAATTCTTGTGCCTCAGTCTCCCGAGTAGGTGGGATTACAGGTGTGTGCCCCCATGACCTGCTTTTTTTTTTTGTATTTTTAGTAGAGACAAGATTTTGCCATGTTGCCCAAGCTGGTCTTGAACCCCTAGCCTGAAGTGATCTGCCTGCCTCAGCCTCCCAGGGTACCGGAAATACTGACATGAGCCACTATGCCTGGCCAAGATTATTATTATTATTAAACAAATATCAGCCTGGTTTGCCAAAAGTTTCTATGGATAAGAAAGAGAATTTTGACTGGTCACTGTGGTTTATGCCTGTAAACCGAGCACTTGGGGAGACCAAGGCAGGAGGATCACTTGTGTCCAGGAGTTCAAGACCAGCCTGAACAACACAGCAAGACCCCATCTCTACAAAAAATAAAACACCAGGAGTTCGAGACCAGCCTGAACAACACAGCAAGACCCCATCTCTACAAAAAATAAAACAATTAGCTGGGATGGTGGTGGGTGCCTATAGTCCTAGCTGCTCAGGAAGCTGAGGTGAAAAGACTGCTTGAGCCCAGGAGTTTGAGGCTGCAGTGAGTTATAATAACACTATTGTACCCCAGCCTGGGCAAAAGAAAGACCAAAAAAAAATTTTTAATGAAAATTTTAGCTGCCTCTAAGCTTAGTGTGCATAAAACAGTGTGTCTAGCACATAATGCAATGTCCAGCTGCATTAGGAGAATGAAAACATCCTAATAAAGATGCTGGAACATATGTACTCTAAGACAGCCTCCCAGTTTGCCCAACATTAATTCTTCTTCTTCTCTCCCTTCTCCTCCTTCTATTTCTCCTAAGTGGTAGCTCAGCTGCTACTATTATGGAGATAAAGATTGCTTCAGAACCCATAAACAATAAGGAAATGTAAAGCAGGAACAGACTACATTTCCAACTTGTTTGGGTGGCAGAAAACATTCTCAGGTGGGTATTGGAGGACAGCCTTAAGACTTGTGAAGAATTATAACTAGAAGTTTATCAGGGCACCCAATGACTCACTGCTACAATGCTAAAATGAATTCCCTTGTAATCATGATTACTACAGGATTGATCTAATCTATTTCCTGTAAGAAATCAAGGTACTCCCAGATACTTTATCAACTTTTTTCTCATAATAATCCCTGCCCCTGACAAAAGAAGATATTGTCATCCCTACAGTATAGATAAGAAACTGAGGCAGAAAAGTACAGTGAATTGCCCTGGGTCGCACAGAACTGGATTTACAATTTAGCCTCTAATCTTGGAGCACACTACATGAGGTATGGGAAGGAGCATACTAGAGTCACATTACAGCCTTCAGAAAAAGGCCTATTTACTTTAATCTCTGGGAGAAAGATTAGTGGTATTTTCCTTGCACATGCCAAAGATGTCGAAGTAGATGTTTTAGATTCCACATGCTCGTTCTAATCCTTTTCCAAATACTCGGAAAGCCTTAGTTTGAACATTAGAAAGATGCTGGAAATTAAATTTTTTCTTTAAAATTAAGGGAAATATTTGCTAGAAACTCCAGAAAAAGTAACTAATCCAGAAAACTGTATAGTACAGCCACATTGTTTCAGGTCACCTGAGGCGAGAAACTTCCAAGTAGGCATAAATCCAGAGAGCCAGCCCCCTCATCACCCATCTCCCATAACCCATTCCCAGCCCAACCTCATGGTCTAGGGCCTGGATAGATAAAGATCAAGTGAACTCATGTTTTTAACTTTAAAAGTTCCATGCAAGTTGGGTGCAGTGGCTCACGTCTGTAATCCCAGCACTTTGGGAGGCTGAGGTAGGCGGATCACCTGAGGTTGGGAGTTAAAGACCAGCCTAACCAACATGGGGAAACCCCGTCTCTGCTAAAAATACAAAATTAGCTGGGCATGGTGGTGCATGCCTGTAATCCCAGCTTCTTGGGAGGCTGAGGCAGGAGAATTGCTTCAACTCAGGAGGCGGAGGTTGTGGTGAGCTGAGATCGCACCATTGCACTTCAGCCTGGGTAACAAGAGCAAAACTCCATCTCAAAAAACAAAAAAATTTTCATGCAAATATAAGTTATTGTTATAATGATTTATATATCTCAACTAATTGTTGAATGAATCCATGTTCATTAGAAAAACATAGAAAACAAAGCTGAGCAAAAAATTAAAAAAGCAACTACTATACAATCATGCAGTAAGAGTCTTTTGTACCTGTTTACAAATTGGCTATTTTGGTTTTTTTTTTTTTTTTTTTTTTTTGAGACGGAGTTTCGCTCTTGTTACCCAGGCTGGAGTGCAATGGCGCGATCTCGGCTCACCGCAACCTCCGCCTCCTGGGTTCAGGCAATTCTCCTGCCTCAGCCTCCTGAGTAGCTGGGATTACAGGCACGCGCCACCACGCCCAGCTAATTTTTGTATTTTAGTAGAGACGGGGTTTCACCATGTTGACCAGGATGGTCTCGATCTCTCGACCTCGTGATCCACCCGCCTCGGCCTCCCAAAGTGCTGGGATTACAGGCTTGAGCCACCGCGCCCGGCTGTATTTTGGTTTTTTAAAACTTTTTTGGAGACAGGGTCTCGCTCTGTTGCCCAAGCTGGAGTGCAGTGGCATGATCGTGGTTCCCTGCAGCCTCAAACTCTTGGGTTCAAGTGATCCTACCACCTCAGCCTCCTGATAAACTGGGACTACAGGTAGACACCATCATGCCTGGCTGTTTTTTTTTTTTAAATAAACAGGGTTTTGCTATGTTGCCCAGACTCATCTCAAACTCCTGAGCTCAAGCAATAAATACTCCCATCTTGGCCTCCTAAAGGGCTTGGATTACAGGTATGAGCCCCCTCGTCTGGCCTACAAATTGGATATTTTCTAAGGCTCATCTCTTTGGTCAGGCCATGAGGAAATAAGCCAGAAGCTACAACCAACCACTAAGGTTCTATGTGTCACTTCCCTTAAATTAAGTAGAGAAAATGGTGATTTATCCATGGAAAACTATGTTTTATTCTCTTGACACTTATCCCGAAGAGATAAGACCACTACTCAGTATACCTGGTGGTAAGAAGAAGAAATAACTCCCTAGTTGCATTTTATCAGTCTCAAAATCTTACACCACAATTTTAGAATTATGTAGTTCAGTGCTCCCTAACCTTTTTTGCACCACAGACCGGTTTTATGGAAGATAATTGTTCCTTGGGAGGTGGGGCGGCGCAATAGTTTCAGATTAAACTGTTCCACCTCAGATTATCAGGCATTAGTTAGATTCTTATAAGGAGAGTGCAACCTAGAACGTCCATATGCGCAGTTCACAACAGGGTCATGCTCTTTGAGAATCAAATGCCACTGCTGATCTGACAGGAGGCAGAGCTTAGGTAGGTCATAATGCTTATTCGCCCACTGCTCATCTCCTGCTGTCTAGCCCGGTTCTTAGCAGCCCTGTACTGTGGCCTGTACTGGTCCATGTTTTGGGACCCTGATGTCATTCATTTACTTAGACCGGCAAATATCATGGCCAAAGTTGATTGTCTATCTATACATACTTACACATAGTCTCATATATACAGAAGGCATGATTTTAAAATATATTTTGGTGGGATTCTTCCTTTCTCTCAAAGAAAATAAATGTACATTTAGAACCTATATAAAAGTAGGCCAAAGAACTGTTAATAATCAGCAAAAGATGAGTACGGTAGAATCTTTCCAAATAGCAGGCGGTGTCATTATTCCGAAGAAAAGCAAATTTGAATCCCTTTCTTTTTCTCATACTAAAATCATGCCATTACCTTTTTGTTTGCAGCCACACCATCCTCACAGTCGAGCACTGCACAATCTACATTCAGGGATGGAATCTTCTTTATTTTCTTTTCATCATTTCCAGGTACATAAAGCACTGCCCTCCGGGGAACGTACTTGTGACCGGATGAGGAACTATATCCAAACCTGGGGACATCAGATGCTAGAGACGCTCTCCTGCAAGACACATTACTGGGGTTAGTCCAGAATGAGATTTCTGTATTTATAAACTTGTGAAAAACTTTATTTTAATGCAAAATAAAAATAGATCCCATAATCTTGTTTTTTTTTTTTTTTTGAGAAAGGGTCTTGCTCTGTCACCCAGTTTGAAGTGCAGTGGTGTGATATCGGCTCACTGCAACCTCCACTTCCGGCTCAGGTGAACCTTGCACCTCAGCCTTTCCAGTACCTGGCACTACAGGTATGCACCACCACGCCAGGCTAATTTTTGTATTTTTTGTAGAGACAAGATTTTGCCACATTGCCCATGATGGTCTTGAACTCCTGGGCTCAAGGTATCTACTTGCTTTGGCCTCCTGAAGTGCTGGGATTATAGGCCTGAGCCACCATGCCCACTCGATAGTCTTTTAAAATTATGGCAGAATATAATCACATATCAAAACTAATAAAACAAAAATAGCAAAAATAATCGATGAACTAAATGTTATCTTGGCTGAGGTTTAAAAAATAGGTAGGACTGTTTACTGACATCTTCTGAGAGGAAGAGGAGGGTGTACATATTTCTTCTTGGAAAACACTTCCAGTATTGTTATACTCTCTGGATAGCATCCGTGGAGAAAAAGGGAAGAAAATGTCTATCCAAAAACAACAATACTATCTACAATTAAACATAAAAGTAAAAATATGGACCAAAAAAAAAATACTAAAGAAGCATTAGTCTATGGCCCTTGCCCTACCAACACATGTTTTAAAGTAGTAAATCAGTGATTCACATTCAATCTTAACAACAGACAAGAGAGACTAGTTATTTTTAAGAGAGTAGAAAGGACAGTGAGTGCCTCTGTAATTGTAGGCAACTTAATTACTGGTAGCTTCAGATTCTTCATCTATAAAAATAATACTCATTTTGTAGGATGTTGAGAAGATTAAGTTAAAGGAAATAATGAACATGAAGCGCTTAGCCAGAGCTGGGCAGATATTTTAGCTTCTTAAAATGGTGGTGGGCGTAGCAGGAGTGCCAGCAGCTGCTGCTGCTGTTAATGGAGAATCTCTAGCTGTCAGTAGCCCCTGCGTGCTTCTCAACTATGCTCTTTCTTTCCCTTGCCTATCATACCAAGTTCAGTCTCTGGTAGAAATAAAAGGTGTTGGCCAGAAGCTCCTTTGGCTTACTGCTGCCCTTGCCTGCTCCATAGTTTATATCCTGTGAAAACCATGCTTTAGCTCATACGACACGGTAAGGGAAGATGAAATCAGCTCCCATAATCAGAACCAGCTAGACAATTTGCAGGCCCCGATGAAAATGAAAATGCAGAGGTCTTTGTTTATAATTTATTAGAAATTTCACAATAACAACAGAAGAATATTAAATCAAGCACTAGGCATTTCTAAGAGCACAAATGACACAACCATGAAGCCAGCCCTGCCCATAATAGATGAAGTTCTATGTCATGAAGACTGTCAATTCCAATACTTTGGGAAGCTGAAGCAGGCAGATCACTTGAGTCCAGAGTTTGACCAGCCTCGGCAACATAGTAAAATCTCATCTCTATCAGGAAAAAAAACCAAAAAGCAAAAATTAGCCGGGTGTAGTAGCATGTTCTTATAGTCCCAGCTACTCGGGATTGATTGAGCCCAGGAGGTCAATGAGGCTGCAGGGAGCCCTGATCATACCACTGCACTCCAGCCTGGGCAACAGAGCAAGACCTTGTCTCAGAAAATAAAATAAAAAATGAAAAAGATTGCCAGTTAAGAAAAGTTAAAACCCTAGCAAACTGATGTTTTACTCTCATTAGATAAATGGTATGATCTTTAAAAAAATATGTCCGCTATAGTCTTCATGAAAACTCCGGACATCAGTAGTTAACACTACCAAATATTTTGCACAGTTGTAAGATTTCACTATAATTAGTGTGCTTGTGACTTAATGTATCTCAAGAAAAATCACTGTCTTTCGGGGTCCTGCAAGTTTGCGTGGGGGCCCTCAATCCTTCTTGTAGCCAACCTTACCTTAAGGAACTGTAAAAATGAGTCTGTGTCTTATTTTGCCACATGTATCATGTGACGTATGGTGAGACAGAGATGGATTTAAAAAATGTACATGGCTTATGAAACATATCATTTAATATAAAACATATTATGGCCAGCTAATTGAAGAGTGCCTGAAATATCTGTCATTGTTTTTCACTGATTGAAAATATCTGGTTTATCTAAAAGCGGAGAGAAAACATAATGATGTAACAGCAGCAACCACATTTTACTTATCATTCACACTGGAGACTAGAATGTGTAACATATCCATTTCCCTAAAAATACCAAGAAATGCTTGGAGCAGAATCTCTGCTCATCAGGATTTAATGTAACCACACATGTGAAAACCTAAGAGACGGAGTACAGAGCACCAGCAATCTTCCCCACCCAGACAACAACTGCATTCGCAAAATCTTTCTCCTGTAACTATTCTGAAACGATTCTGGAATCTATTAAAGGCTTGCAACTTCTAGGGGAAGGCTTGGATATTAAATGGTGGTTAATTTTAGTCAACTTCAGCTCTTAGCAGGGTAGCAGCTACCCATCCTCCTCCTCTCAGTCACACAGTAGGCAGCTGTGCCCATGTTCCTGGAGCAACCCACACATAGCTTGAGGGAGCCAGGGGGTACAAAAACAAAGATCCTGACCCTCCAAATATCAAGGATCTGTGCTCTGATCACTGATTGCTGGTTCTGATCACAGACGTGCAGATAAAGAGGCTGAGAGCCATTGTTATGACACCTGCCTCCAATGTGGCAAGGCCCTCTCTTTTTCGGCTGAAGGGATCTCCAGGTAATTCAAAGGCCAGTACCACCCCCATTAACTTTTTGCTTTGTTTCCCTTTTCGAAGCCAGACATTAAAGACTACAACATTCAAAAACAAACACATATATAGGGAAAAATAGAAATGACCATGCATGCCCAGAGAAAGGCTCAGAAAACATCTGAGAAGCTGGGCGTGGTGGCTCATGCCTGAGATCCCAGCACTTTGGGAGGCCAAGGCAGGGCAGGTAGATCACCTGAGGTTGGAATTTGAGACCACCCTAACCAACATAGTGAAGCAACAGCTCTACTAAAAATACAAAAAATTAACCGGGTGTGGTGGCCCATGCTTGTAATCCCAGCTACTTGGGTGGCTGAGACAAGAGAATTGCTTGAACCTGGGAGGTGGAGGTTGCAGTGAGCTGACATCATGCCATTGCCTTCCAGCCTGGGCGACAGAGTGAGATTCTGTCTTAAAAAAAAAAAAGAGAGAGAGAGAGAGAGGCTGGGTGTGTGGCGCACACCCATAATCCCAGCACTTAAGGAGGCCAACGGCGGATCATGAGGTCAGGAGTTCAAGACCAGCTGCAACAACATGGTGAAACCCAGTCTCTACTAAAAGTATAAAAATTAGCTGGGCATGGTGGCACATGCCTGTAATACCAGCTACTCAGGAGGCTGAGGCAGCAGAATTGCTTGAACTCAGGAAGCAGAGGTTGCAGTAAGCTGAGATACAGCCATTTGCACTCCAGCCTGGGTGACAGAGCAAGACTCTGTCTCAAAAAAAAAAAAAAAAAAAAAAAATGTAAAGAAAGAAAAAGAAAAGGCCGGGTGCGGTGGCTCAAGCCTGAAATCCCAGCACTTTGGGAGGCAGAGGCGGGTGGATCACGAGGTCAAGAGATCGAGACCATCCTGGTCAACAAGGTGAAACCCCATCTCTACTAAAAATACAAAAAGTTAGCTGGGCATGTATACCTCAGGCTTATCCTTAGTGTACACACAGTATACAACCATCGAATAAGTAAACAAAAACAGTGAGCCCAGCGGAGGCAGAGAATCTGATTTCCAGACACCACACTGTTTGATTCAAACATCTACTTTATAACGACAATAAAAAAAAAAAATCACAAGACATATGAAGAAAGAGGAAAATATGGTCCAGTCAAAGGAAGAAAAATAAGTCAACAGAAATGGTCCCTGAAAGAGACCTGATGGCAAAGACTCTAAAAAACTGTCTTAAAGATGCTCTAAGCACTAAAGGAAGATGTGAAGAACATCAAGATAATGAAGTATGAACAAAATGGAAATATCAAGAAACAGACAGAAAACTTAAAAAGATACCACAAATCCCAGAACTGAAAAGTACAATAACTGAAATGAAAAATTCACTAGAGGGATTCAAAGACAAATTTAGCAGGCAGAGGAAAGAATTAGCAAAGTTGAAGAGAGGACAATGGACATTATCAAGTCTGAGAAATAGAAAAAAGACTGAGAAGAGAACAGAGCCTAGAGGACCTGTGGGACACCATCAAGCAACACACGCACATACTGTGAGAATTCCAGAAGAATAAGGAGAGAGAAAAGGGTAGCAAGGGTATTTTGAACAGATAATGGCTGAAAACTCTCCAAATTTGGTGAAAGACTTAAATATAAACATCCAAGAAGTTAAATGAACTCCAAATAAGATGAACTCAAAGACACCCACACCTAGACACATTAAAATCAAACTTTCAAGTACTTAAAAACACCCATACCTAGACAGATTAAAGTCGAACTTTCAAAAGTGAAAGACCTCCAGTTCTGAAATGGTGGCAAAGAAGTAAGCCGGCTTCAGTACCCACCTCTCCCCAACAGAAAAATGAAAACAAATATACAGTGCTGGAATTATCGCCGGAAGTATCTTAGAACTCAAATATGAAGATGAGACAGTTCTCAGGACCCCAGAAAAAACCCTGAGCAGATGGTAAGACAACTGGATTTCTATGTAACAACACTCCCCACATTACGCCAATCACCAAGCATGCAAAAGCATTTCCTCCAACTCACTGTTTCTACACTGGAAAAAGTGAAACTGAGGTGGACATTCAGCTTCTCCATCTTGTGTTCCCTGGCAGGAGACCTGCCCTGCCTTAATCCATGGGAAGCATCACAAGTGCCTGAAGGGAGAAAGAGTCCTGAAGACAGGCAGAGACAAAGCAGGGAAGTGG